AGAGTAAAATGCAATATTTTTATAATCATATGAAAGAGTTTTCATTTGCATATCGAATGATACTAGTTAGGGTTAGAATCCTTGAAGCATGAGTTTGTTATAACAGAAAAAGGGCGAAAAGTGAAAAATTTTTGTTGTACCTATAACTCGTTGCAAAATAGCGTTGTAGAAGTAAAAACCTTGCTGCAGGTAGTCCAACACTTTCTATATCGAACGGTAGGTATATCATAAGTAAGCGTCCTCTTGGATCTCCATAAATATCCTTCGAAGTCCTTGCAGTAGAGCCTCACTAATGGAGGAGATGGGAAATCAACCAGGTTTTGGGCCGGTAACCAATAGCAACATCAACTAGCCTACGCCCCCGTTTCCAATCCCTTTCATTTACTCTAATATCTATGATTATAGGAACGACCTGGGGGTTACGCCCCCAGGTCGTTAAAAATTATAATTATTCATAATCCAACGACTAATGTAATGAGATTCATGCATTCTCTGACTCTGACTGAGCCCGCCTCTGACTGAGTCACGTGATTAGTTTTGCAGCTGCGGATTAGTGCAGAAGAAGTGCAGAGACTAGTTTCAATTCCAAGTTCAAATAATTATGGCAACTCCTTTTGTAAAAAGACCAGAACGACACCAGCCACTAGGTTAGTTACTGTATATTGAGTCTATCACTCGTAAATTATTCTTTCCATTCTATAGGTCTACTTAATATTCCTGAGATATTTCATTTACTAAAGAGGCATGGTATCAGTTATTTTGATTTTGGTCTTTATCTGGGTCTGTCTCGTCCTACACTTAATGCTATTGGGGCTAATAACAAAGGAAATGTTAATAAATGTCTATCAGAGTGCTTGGAGGTATGGGTGGAACAAGCTGATGATGTAAAGAGTAAAGGTGGTCCAACTTATGATACATTAATACAAGCACTGAGGAAGATGGGGAAGAATGATGTAGCTGATGAGATTGAAAGAGAAAGTAAAGAATAATTGCCCACACTTTTGATTAAAAATGACAGCTAGCGTCATAATTATTGTAAGCCCGCCTTAAGTAAAGCTAGTCGTGAATAGTTCCATAAATGAGATTGTACTGAACAGCACTTCATCAATACTTCCTCCCGTTTCTTTTTTTACTTCTTTACTGACTGCTATGCATGTATAGACCTCTATATTTCCTCCATGTGTCTGTGTGGTTTAATATTATAGTTGATGACAAGGTTAATATGTATATAAATTAGTATTTATCAATTTACATAAAATTATTTTTATTTAGTAGAAGTACCTGAAACTCCACCCTCCAATCCTCCTGCTAAGAGATTGACAATGCAACAATTATTAGGTAAATAATTTATGCTAAATAAGCACCTTTTCAATTTAAGGCCTTTCTACACTAGAACTTCTAATGCGCATTGAACT